GGTGGAGGCCTGTGCTCTTGAGCAGGTGTGAGTTGTAGTTCAGGTTTCAGACACTAAAACCGCTGTACTCTTAGGGAACTCTTCAGCTTTCTAAACCCCAGTTTCTTTTTATGTAGACTGAGGAGTTGCAACAAGATGGTTTCTATGGTCCCTTCCACTTATAAAAATGATTTTGTAATTCTCACTTTTTAGTGCCTGTTTGTTTAATGAAAATCTGTTGACTGACTTTATGGATCTTGCTTGAGCAAACTTAGATGCTACTGGAAAAGGCCTAGAACTGGAATAGATCCTCTGTACTGTGGAACTATGTCTTTTGGATCTGCAGAACAAAATCCAGCACCATGGACAGACAGTCTGGCATGCCAGCCATCAGAGCAGTGGCCCCTGGGCATGCACAGTCTAGAAGCAAATCTGCCAGCAGCACAACGTTAGTCCAAGGGTCAGACTCTTCACAGCCCCAGTGTGAAAAACCCAGAACATCTAGGCTAACGTAAATCAATACCTATGAACAGACAATAGAGGCGTTCATCCATTCTTGGGTCTAGTCCCTGATTTCTCATCTGTTCTTGGTTGGCTAGAGTTGAACCCTGAAGTTGTTGCTACTGGAACCAGAACACCCTTCTATTTAAACCACAGATTGGTAAGGTCGTATAACTCAGCCACATGAGCCATATGGGATGGGAAGACCAAAGAGTTCTCTGTTGTTCATGGTCTCAGACTGTGAATCTGAATCTAAGCAGCCATTTACAAATCATTGACCTTGGGTACCAAGGTGTCCCAGGTGGGAATGTGTGACAGATGTGCCCAGGGTCATCACAGCTGCCAACACAACTGAAAACACCACTTTTTTCAATGGAGCCATCAGTAGCTATTACATAAAAGACTATCCGGGTGATCCAAGAAAGCCCTACATATGATCCGAGAAAGCCCTACTTTGGTTGCACACCTTTTCTTAGGTTTTTGTTATTGCTGCAGTTATTCTGATTTTTTTAAGTGTGAGATGTGTTCAAAAAGTTCGCAGAGAGATTCATAGTATCTTTTATTTCTATTTCTCTACTAACTTTTCAAAGTACCCTTACATATGAGGTGCGATCTTTCATCAAGTCCTTTACAGGGACTGTCATTTAACCAGGGTACGAAAGGGTTAAACAAGCTATTCCCCTGGGCTCTTCTTCTCTTTATCTGCCCTACTTGGGCAAATAGTAGAGAATTTTCTGTTTCTTGGCCTCGGTGACCCCTGTGGCAATGACTTCAATCACTTCTGTGAAGTTCCAGTTTAGTGTATCTAGGAGTTAGGTAAAAACAACCCCTTGGATTTCCTTTCTTGCCATCATTTTAATTGCAGCTTGATTGAAATCAAATTCAT